CAAACACGGTTAAGAAAATGAGTGCTCGTTTTCTTAATCTTCTTGTGGGCTGGATTTGACCCCGCCCCATTCCCCAGGTCCAAATCCAGCCGCAAACACGGTTAAGAAAATGAGTACTCGTTTTCTTAATCCTCTTGTAGGCTGGATTTGACCCCGCCCCATCCCCAGGTCCAAATCCAGCCGCAAACAGGGTTAAGAACATGAGTACTCGTTTTCTTAATGCTCTCGTGGGCTGGATTTGACCCCGCCCCATCCCNNCCAGGTCCAAATCCAGCCGCAAACACAATTAAGAAAAATACTAGCAATCCTTAGAAGATACCTGTATGCCACTACTTCAAGAAATCAGTCCTCATTTCCCTCAACAAGAAAATCAGACCCCCGGAAAAGCGGACAGTTAGTAAGCTCGCGAAAGTTCGGTTGGAGGCACCCTCGCCGTCGCCGATGCCAATTCTCGGACGGCTTGCGCCGACGCGGCAGGCAGGATACTGACAGACGTAGAGCAGAATGCTGGACGGCGTGCTGCTACACACGTTGGTGTTATGTCAAGTCCAGATGCGGTTGGTTACGTGTTTTGGTTGTTGCATGGCTGTTTGTGTTCACCGAAAAGGCTCCCAACGTCAGGGAAGAGGGAAACTCGAGCGAGACACAGCTGTGCAGGCATGCGTCGACGGCAATCTCGTGCCAGGCACGTCGGACCATCAAGCATCAATCAAGCTTACAGTTGATGTCCAGGTCCAACCCCCAGCTCCCCATGCGAAGGTGATGGATGCGACGGAACTTGCCAGGCGGAGGCGAGTGTTGGCAGGGTGCGGGTTGGTCTTGCGAAAGTAAAGGTGCTTTGTTTACAGGAAGGACTCAGAGGTCAGACCATATAAGTAAGCAATTACAAGACTAAGACCTGCGATCAGGTCCTGAAATTGGGTATAGGTTTTGAAACCGCATCCTGAAATCCCCAAACTCTCTCCAAAGATCGAAAGTCTCCACCCAGGTCAACTGGGTCTGGGACTTGCTTGCCAGCCTGTGGCCCTGGACGCTCGGCTGCTACGAACTGCAAGGACAGTCCAAGTAAGAATAATCACGTAGTAGTAGGTAATAGTGGTATCTAATTTCTATACTAGCAGGTCCTTATGGCAAGAACTTTATCGAAATCGAAATCTCAAGGGCTTGAGGCTGGAATGCGTTGGCTTCAGATGTGTGATTCCAGCTGACTGTCTGAGTTGTTGATAGTTGTTGCTTTGAGGTCGACTACTGGCAGAGATGTAGCCGCAACAGACTCCGAAGCATGTGCGGGCCTGAGATTGCTCCAAAAGTTTGGAGACATGTCATATGCATGTATGTCTTGGTGATGCAACCTGAACATGAAGACTCGATGGCCCATGGCTTTTATGCAGTTGTTCCGTTTGGTTTTCCACAAATCCAGTGCAGCAAGTTGCGTGCTGGACCCACGCACGGAACTTTCCGGGCATTGCAGGCAGTCTGTCTTCGGCGCATCTCCTGTGTCCTTCGTGCTCCGTTGAAGGAAGGTTATGCAGTTGCAAAGTAATAAGCTCGCGAAAGTTCGGTTGTTGGTTATGTGTGTTAAGCTTCGTTGTTTGGCTTTGTAGCTTGGGACACGCAGGTCAAGAACTTGACGAGCTGCTTCATACCATCGAAGAAGTCAGGCTCCCAGCTCTGTCGAGCGAAAGCTGCGATTGTTAGGCATAGGCATCAAGAAAATAATAAGGATCAAAAAATACTAGGGATCAAAAAATAGTTGGGGTCAAAAAATAGTGTATTTTGATACGAAAGCTATTATTTTCTCTATATATCATGAGGCCCTGGTTATGGTGTTGGGCCTCCCAATTTTTTAAGTGCTGTGCTGTGCAGGGAAGCGCGGGCGTTTATTGGGGGGTGGCTGGCTCATGAGCCCAATAATCCTTCGCGTAGCCGCCTAAAGCCCTAACTTTTTGGACACCTGCCACCAGACTACTTTTTGGACACTTGCCACCATTGTTGGCTACTTATTGGACACTTGCCACCATTGTTGATCACTATTTGGACATTCTGCCCCCTGATGAAGAAAACATGCAGGAAATAAGGTTCGGCGGGGCTCATTTTCCGAATGATAACGAAATAAGGTTCGGAGGGGCTCTTTTTCTGAATGATAACCAAATAAGGTTCGGAGGGTGCGCCTGGGCTCCTCTAGGAATGCAGGGGCAGTTGCACGTGGTGTGAAAAACGTGCTATCTTCTCTTCTCACCAGGGACCCGGCCCTCAATTTTTCAGTCCTCGGCACCCAAGCCAGGCCCTTGCGCTCCAAAACGTTCCAACACCTTCCCACCTGGAAAGAAATGCCCTTATTAAGAAATATGCATGACCGAACAATTGATCCAAGACCCTATAAGCCCTAAACCTTAAAGAGTTTTGGTTTAAGGGGTTTCGGGGCCTTGCTGAACCTTATCTAGCCTTAATTACGCAGTCCTCAAGCGGCTGAGAAGATTGTTTTTACTCCTACGTGCGTCGGGAACTGCGCGCTTTGGCTTCCACCGAGATCATACGTATGAGGATGCCAAATATAGGCCTAAGCTAAGCTCAACCTAGGACCTAGGGCCCTAGGGTTGTCGGAGCAAGAACGAGAAGGGCAGAGGAGGAGAGTGGGCGAAGGACGGGCAGGGAAAATTAAAAGGGTAGGAAAGAAGAGAGGGAGAACTCTCACAAGGTGTCGACAAGCAGGGCGGCTACGCCCAGGCACATGAGGGCTGGGGCTTGGCCACAAGTCGTTGTAGTAAGTAGTACCCCGGCAGCAGTATAGCAGTAGGAGTGGGACAGGCTGCTTGCGCGTCTGTGCCGAATTATGAAGAATTTAGGGGGTTATAAATGCAAGAGAAAACGCCCGCTTTCAAACACCTTTAAACAGACAGATTTCTTTAATTCGTTGAGAAGGGCTTCAAGCCCCCTTCGAGAATTCTGACCCTCTCAAGCCCCCTTGAAGCCCGTTTCGGGCTTTGAAATGCTGGAAAGCCGGTTGGCTCTGGTTGGACCAGTGTTCAACCCTTTGTCATGCCAGGGCATGAACTACCTGGGCGCTCTGTTGCTCAGCGTCCACAGCGAGGACCTGGCCCCCAAGAAATTCTGTCCGAAGCGATTCTGTATCTTACGCAAGCAAAAGAGCTTCGCGCTGCTTGTCGAGCTCATGCGCGGCCAGGACCTTCGGGCTATTCTACTGATAAAGAAAGGAGCTTGCTGGAAACTCAATAAAACGGCGAATCACTGTATGTAAAGTTAGTCACAGAACGGCCATCTTTTTTGAGGGCCTCACGACTAAAGAGGGTTCAAGATTAGCTGGCCCCTACTCACATTCTGCGTAGGAAGCATGCAACAACCCTTGTGCTTCGTTTTATCGTGGACCTTACATCCTCACAGTAGTCATGAGTAGTCACCGAATGGGGCATTCCAAAAAAGAGGTTTCATAGTCGACAAAGCATGGTCTTCGGCCAGTTTTGGATTTTTTGAATTTCGGTTTGTTAGAGTTTTGTAAGTTTTCGGAAGCTAGAGAATTCTACAACTCATTATCGTGGGTTTTGGAATTTGAGAGTTCATGACATTTCATCTGAAAGAGTGGTCCAGGGGGTGAGCTTATATATGAACGGAATTGCCAAATAAATGGGGGGGGGGGGGGGGGGGCG